CACAAGTGAGTGTCATATTCATCTTCGAAATTATATACTTAAATATAAGACTATTGTGAGTATTGTAACTATTGAAATTGATACATAAACAAACGCTTGCATAGTGACAGCGCAGATCACAAACAATATTCATATTTAATTAATTTGGAAATAACTTGTAGATTACAACAGTTATTTTGTATGCAAGTATAAAATAATATAGTTACACATATTTTAAGCGGGGTACTATCATAGTATAGTCCCCGATTTACCTATATTTTGTTTTATTTGGGAGCAATAATGACAATTATTGTGTAGGTAGTAAAAAAAAAAAATGTTGTTAAAATTTTAGTTTTAGTAACTATATATAATACTGTAGTATTAAACAATATATATATATTAAATTTATATAGATTAAATAGATAAGCATTTAAATGTATGCAATAATAGCTTAATTTTAGCTAAAGTTTTTAAATAAACGAAGATTTTAGTAATTTAAATGGAAAAATATAAACGTAATACATTGTTACTTGTTTGTTTCATTTAACTCAAATTGAAAATTATTTAAATTACCTATTATAAATAATAAGAAAGAAAAAAATCATTGATAGAACAGTTTTAAATAAATTTCAGCTTATTAAAAATATGTTTGTAATTTTTGGTTATAAATTTCTAAATTAATTGAATATAATTCATGATATATACGATTGTACGGTTAATAATAAATCTATTACCAACATTTTTAATGCGAATTCCATAAATCAAAAATTGTACCTAAATAAAATATGAGTTAAAAAAACTGATAGTGAACATTACATAACACATGATGTGTTCACTGCTGCAATTTAAATATATTAAAAATAACCTTAAAATAACTAACATCCAGTTGATAAACAATTTAAAATATTAAAATATTCAATGTTAAGTAATATAAAATTTCTACAGTTTTATTGCAGTGTGAACATTTTTAAAAGGTTTTATAAAACCGTTGTGTCCAAAAATTAATTTTTTACATAAAAGGGAATTGCAAATATTAATGCAATTTAAAAACCACTATTAAAATTCAGAATTCAGTATAGTGCTGCATATTTACATAATTGCTCTAGATAAGAAAAAAATATATTTATATAAATCCAATTGGTTATTTTCATTTTTATACGAATGTCTCATCAGTTATAAATTTTAACAGAATCTTAATTATATGCAGTAATTACAAAATAATTTTTTTACTTTCAAAATACAATTGAAGGCATTAAATATAATAAAAATAAGAAAAAAGTTATTCTCTTTTGGTTACCTATGTATATTTCATTAATATTATTATGAAGATAATATCTTCTTATGCTTAACTTATTTATTTAACTTTCTATCATCTTTTAATTATTCAACACATTAACTGTGCGATTTTTAGTCATCGATTATGTAATTTATGTTTTATTGAAAATTGTGTTTTATATATTTTCTATGAATATATTCGCAAAATTGAATACTGTGTATATTTTTTTATATCTTTCCTATTTTAAATACAATTTAACTTAAACTATATAATATTAAAAATAACTGTAATTATTAATATTTATTTGAAAAAATTTCACAATCTCTGTTTAAATCTTTATTTATATAGGTATTTAGTATTTATACAGCAGAATAGAGTATTAATTATTATAGATAGTAGAAGTTTTTGGATTTAAATACCTCAGTAAGAGTGAAAATGAAAATAATACAATATTGTTTTAGTTTGCTAGATTTATAAATGTTATTTTTCTGAATATTTTTTATTTACTTTTAGTTGTTTTGAGGTAAAATAAAGTTTTTTCTAGAATTCATAAATCAGGATTAAATCAACATTTACTTGAATTAACGCCCACCTTAATATTAAATTAAGAAACCAATATATCTATTATTCGCATGTACTGTTTTATATGCACTTTGAAAAGTAAAGGTTTTTTAATATGTATGATGAATTGTTTTATTAATGTATATTTAGACACGAAAAAACAAAAAAACAACTTTAATAAATTGTAATGAAAAATTATAAAGCGAAAAAATGTTATATTTTGTCAATTTAAGGTAAATGCAATTTCATAAGTATTTTAAATCATAATAAAATGTTTAATACGATACACATATTTTCACGCATATTTTTTTTTTTTATTAATTTTTAATATTCTGTTATTTAAAATGTAGTATGAATTGTGAAGAGTTATAAATTATTTTGTCTTAATAAATTAAATAGTTTAAATATTAACTAATTGTACGCTAATACAAATCGCAGTTACAAAACATAAAAATCTTGACTTTAAAATCTATTTGAATTTCCCAGACTATAATATGAACTATAGTTAAGCTTCTAATACATTGTACGTACTACGTTGTCATTAGTACACTTAGTGTAATTTTCCAATGATTTTTGTCGTAATCTTTTTTTATACTTTAATGGGTCGAAAACAGTCTAATTTTTTTTTTTTAATTGGTTAAATTTATGATTAGAATATGTTAAACTGTCATACATGTTATAAATTATATTTGTATATATGTAACGATAGTGCGAGATGGAACATGATAAAATATATGTTCAAGAGTTTTTTTTTACCTTTATTATTATTTTTACCCTTATACATTGAAGCCGCAAACCTCAGGATAAATCGGATATTTGATAATTTCAAGTTGGAACAAATCGGGTGGAAAAGATTTCCATCTCCGTCGCGGTCGACGATGAATGCTACATCTAGTAATATCGCCTCAGGACCGTACCGTGCATAACATTATTTCCTTTCACATTCCTAATTGCAAATCAGCCAGTTCCGGCGGAAACTCCAATTTTGTATTATATTTTCCCCATAGTATTATTATTTATTTCGTTATTACTTATTTTTTATACTCAGGTTATCTCATGTTTATTATTCTTAAGTTTGTATTGTACATCTCAAATATCGCAATATCACGTCTACGTTTTTCTTATGCATAGTACGATTTAGTAGTCATTGCGGAGATAAAACGATTCTTTTTCGTATAAATCTCCATTGGAAGTAACCGTTCGATCCAACCGGGAAATAACAAACTTTTTAAACGAACTGCGAAAGTTTTTTTAGGCCTAATGTAAATGTCGTTTGATCCCCCTTTGCTCTAATATATATAAATTTGTACTGCCAACGATGTTTTAAAGCAATTTTCTACGAATTCTATACAAGAAATCTAGGTCTACCACTTTATAGTTTCCTAAATCAAGATAAATAGCGATGGCAAAATACGACTTTTCAAAGTAATGTCTTCGACTTTTGACAATTTTAGGTGTAATAGATAGGTGACTCACAATATTACGTAATACGTATTGACACTGTTTTTAATGATTTTTTATTCTTATTTTTACATTCACAGGATAAATTATTTACTATCAGTTTCCTTTTATTTGTATAACTTTAAATGGATTTTATAATATATAATTAAATACGAAAGATAATTACTTTACCAACTGTGAATATTATTTAAAATTAAACTAAATAAATGAAAAAATTTAAATCATATGAGTACATACAAAATGTTAATCAACAAATACTTTGTATTTTTTGTTTTGTTTTATGTTTGTGTATGAATCATTAAGGTTGATAATATATTTAAATGGTATATTAGAAATGGGTATATTTTTATAAGTTGTTACAAAATCAAGCTTATAGATTTTAAGTAATAACTTTAAATAAAAATAAAATAAAACAAGTAAAAAGTAGGTAACCACTGTAATTATTTCTAGTCATTGAATAAATCACTGTAATATAATATGTGTTACATTTCAACTCAATGATAATTCATCATATACGAAAATCAATTTCGAACGAAAACTGAATTCATTCAGTCTTGTCAGCTTATATTATATTAAGTTTATTTCACAACATGTTACTTTTTTTATATAACTATTATGGTAGGTTGATTAAGTTATTTTTGAAACACATTGTATTTACTATATTATTGTAATAGTTTATAATATTTAGTATTTACCAAATAAATTTATCAGCATTAAATCTTCAAAAACTCATAAAAAATCTCTGTGAATACTTAATTATTATGTTAGGTATTTATAAGGGACATAATAAAAGCTTTTTGATTAAGCAAAAACTTTTATCGACATTAATAGAAAAACAATTAAAAAAAAAAAAATCAAACGTTGATCTAACTTTTTCCTACTTAGGAAAACTAAACAATTATTTTAATAATTAAATTAAAATTGTATCAGCTGATGTTCATTTTTTTCCGCGTTCAATTATTTTAAAAAGAACTGACAATTTTAAATTTTAATCTCCCAAAAGGACCAACCATATTCAATTTTATACTAAATATCTTTATCGAAGTAGACGACCAGATAATTGTTTGAACTAGTTATATTTCAGATACAAAAAATAAAACGCATCGTAGTAAAATTAATACATTCATACCTTTATACAAAATATGAGGTTCTATTCTCACCTTTGGTTATCAAAAAGTTGGTTTATCTTTACTCATAATGATTTTTCATCATATAAAATGATTTATCATCAAATTCAAATTTAATATGTCATCTATTACAGTCTCTGCTCAATGGTGAGGTATACTCGACTCTTACGTACAACAGTGCGGTTATCTACGTTCCCCATTTCTATCTTTTAAACACCATTAATTTTTAATATAATGAATATTTTATTTAGACACTGTTGTAGATCACCAAATTTTAGTTATTACAATATAAATTCTACTTTAAGATATAAATATTATAATTTATAATCTTTCTATTGACTTTAATCGTATAGATAAAAATGTTAAAAATAATGTAAAATTTTAATGAATAAATGTAAATATGATCCAAATTTTCTAAATTTAATTCCAAAAAGTTTCGTTTTAGAGATTTCATATATTATACGTATAAGAATGTGTGGAGATGAATATTTTCTGTTTTCCGAAAAATACCTAAACATAGATAATAACAATTAAATCTATAAGTTTTCATTAAAAATATTTATTTAATTTACTAATAAATATTTTAAATTGTATAGGTTCTTCTTTATCCAGAAGAAGGATGGGCACGGAGTGCAGTTTCGAGCTACTGGACCCTCACGCCAACTTGGTGGAATCGAAGCAAATGTAAAGTAGTAGAAGTAACAGGCACTAGAAAGTAAGAATATTTCATTGTATGATGATATATATATATATATATATAATTATTTTGTGTTCGAATAAAGCATATTATAATATCAGTCACTATTTATACAAGTAGATAACATATTGTGCTTAAATCGTTATGAAGGTAAAAAGTCATTCTAATTTTATTTATTATATTATATGCATTTTTAAAACATCTATAGAAAGTTAAAATATTTAATTTTATGATTAAATTTAAATATAAGCAATTATCATTTATCACATTACGATAAATATGATTACTTGAGTGAGGAAGCAACCCATTAATATCATCTCCGAATTTTAATAGCTGAAATACTATATTTAATTAAATTAACACAAAGCGCTTATTTTTGACATCCAAGAAAATTTAATTGTTGAAGTTTCTAAATAAAAGTAGATATACTTAATTAAAAAAATAAATGTAATACCTTATAAATCATACCTCACAAATTATACATTTTACTTTTTATGAAATAATTAATTTTTAATTATCGTGTACATACTAGCACATATTAGTATGAGCACATTGTACATAATTTGAATTGATAAAAAACCGTTCACTACTTTTTTTATCAGTCACTAATATACTATATTTTAATATAGTAATATAGTGCACAATGTACATAATATAGTAAAATATAGTAAATACTATAGTTTGTATGGCGTGTATATTTAGTCGGTCGTGCGTTTAATGAACCATCAAAATTATGCATGGGCCTTAATTTTCATTTGGTAGTATCGTATTTTATTTTCAATTCGAAATGCATAACTTTTGATCAACAAACAAAAAAATATAATAAACCGAAAAATTTAATCCGATTTGTAGTATAGAGTTTCTTTAACAAGATGACTCCGGTGTATTATTTGTCTAACGTAATGCAATTTAAGGTGTTATCCTCTACAAAGGTCGTTTAGTATTCCAAACGGCATTTTGTAAAGTCGAACAGGCGCGCCGAAGAATAGATGGGTTCTTCTTTTTCTTTCATCACCATCGTACACCTAAACTCAAATTTCATACTAATACCTAATTTTACACATCGCAGATTTTTATTTTAAAACCATATTCGTATACTTACCACGTTATAACTCATTATATTGATATACTCTTAAATGTATATATATATAATATATATCACAAGGTAATATTATAACATTATGAAGCTTACGTATTTATAGAGCTTAAAATAAATGTCCAGTAGAATAACGCCATGAATATATTCAGCATAATATTTATATGCTTGACGTGCTTTGTTCGGCGAGAAAATTCAAATTTCAATCATTTGAGATGAAAAAACAAATGTAAAATAAAATAGAACTGATATTATAATAAGTTATTTGATTAGATTTATTTCCATTTATTAAGTCAAATAATTAATCAAATTTTATATTTAATTAAATAATTTTGATTTGAACATTTGCTGTTGGGTTTTCAATCATGTCAATATGTATTTATTTTTTGAATTATTTCGATTTTATCTACATTAATTTCTTTGAATATCGGAAATTAAAAATTTGAAAGAGACTAACTTAAACCTTGATGTCAATGATTTGTAAAGAAATGCAAGTTGGTCTCACTATGTTCATACTTAGAACTACTATTATTAATTTGAATATATATGTATAGGTATTTTCATTTTATGAGGTAATAAGTACTACATTTGATTTTTTTATATTTCCTTACTATAGAAATAACAGTTTTAGGAGAAATAGAAGTGCTTAAAGTTTCGTTTCGAAATTCAATAAAGTTTGGATTAAAAATTATATTAAGTATACACTAAAGTAAATATTTTCAAAAAGTTATGTTATAATTACAAAAAGTTGATAAAAAAAAAAAAAAAAAAGAAAAACAGTAAAATTAAAAGTTTGTAACTACGAAGTTAACAACTACTAAGAAACATTTTAATAAAATATGTAACACATTATGGAATTCTGAAACTTACATTTACATAATCAGATTTAAAACCAAGTTTTTATACTCAGTTCGTATATTTTTACTATTATTAACTCAATAAAATCTATTTATTTCAATATTAAAAAAAAACAATTGAGAAGTGTCTGTAAAAATATTATTGGGCACGGGTATTCTTAAAGTTATAATATTCATTGGATTATAAATACAGATATATATATATATATATATTATATAATATTTATAAAATATTTTATTTATGTATATAATACTTATCAACCTCAAATTAAATTAAAATATTGTTTATTCAATGACAAGTATAGTATACACAGTTAGTTATTAATATGTCCTAAATAAGAAAATATTATTCGTAGTACTTTTCAAAATTATGTATATTATTATTTTATACGCATAATGAAATTTAAAAATTATTTAGACTAATTTTGAACTAATTATACTACAAAATGTGTTCATACTGTGGTACCTAGGATACGCGATAAAAATACTATAATTTATTAATGATTAATAGTTTAATATAATATATATTTTTTTTTTTTTTTTGAAAAAATAAGTTTAATATATCATTAAATTAATAGAATTACTAATAGTATGTAGATTGCTATAACTACCAAATATAAATAGAATATAAAATATCTTTAGAAATAGAAAATGACACAATTCCTCAAATAAGCACTTATTGTTTTTCATATTTTAGATTTATTAATTAATTAAAACTAAGTTTATCCATTACAGTGACCTATTTAATGTGTGGTCAATGGTTATCTTAAAACCTGCTATTTAGCAGAATGACTTTTGTGATTTTTTATTAGTTGGCAAACCATAATCTAATTTTACAAAACTAAATTATTTATAAAATATTGCTATTACTTTTTTTTTTTAATAAAAACCTATTTAAGGTTGGATATTTTTGTATAAAAGATTTTTAATAATTGAATAATAATTTATAATATTTATTATGGTTTAGACTTTAGAGTTTTAATGTTATATAATAAATTTTATGATAACTAGTCTGAAGTTTTGAAATAATAATAAGTTTCAAAAGATATCGTAGTAACTTTAAAGTATAAATAATTATGTATAAATCTAAAAATAAAGCCATTGGCAAATTAATATTGAAAACAATGCTTGATTTTTAATAATTTATTATTCTTAATAACTATGACTGTAATGTATTTTAATTTATTTAAAAAAAATTTATATTTAATTAAACATTAATGTATATGTCATATATATTATAATACTATATAAGAGTAATTCGTGTGTGAGATAAATATTATAAAATATTTTCTATACTTATAAAATTAACTTATAAGAAAAGCCGAATTTAATTTCACGTAGAAGGTATTTTACTGTTGAAATAGATTACTCAAGTAGTTGTATTAGGTAAATAATTTAACACGAAGGTCATGAATACCTTAATTTTCGAGGCAGAACATTGGCAATAACAAAACATAATAAACAATACCTCTTCTGTTTGCGCTGTGCAATTATTTTATATTATCATTTTTGATATGTCCTATTTCACATATAATTTGTAACATCTATAAATTTTACAGGAATTAAATATATCTATATAACGTACGTCCATCGCTATTCACATTTTTTCAGTAATTAATAAATATATTACGTGTTTGGTTTTCAATTAATATTAGATATACTAATTATAGTGCATTTTTTTATCTTGAAAAGTATTTTCTAAAAAATTACATAATACTATTTCAAAAGTTGCTTTATTGTGGTTTTTTTTTCTTGAATAATAATCATAGTAAAAAAATATGCTTATTTAAATTTTAAGGTTTATTCAAAATAAATTATTAAATTTTAATAATATTATTAGAGTTCAAATAAAGAACAATTCTCAAAATAATCTTCATCATCAATATTTTGCAACAAATTGACTATTTATATGATTATTATTTATTGAATATAATTTACCAAATATTAGTATTCTAACTCACAGAAATGGAATTTTATGATTAAATGATAACTTTCTTTTAAATTATAACTGTTACTTTTAGTGCAACAAATTCATCAATTGAAAAATGTGAATTACCAATTTATATATACTTCCAAATCGTTTTTATAGCATTTGAAATATGGTTTTATCAATAACTGACTATGAACAATCAATACCAAATAACCTTATTCGAACTCTGCATAAAAAATTCAATTTCACTAGAAATAAAATTGTTTTTTACGTTTTTATAATGTAACATAGCTGTCGATATGTCGGTATCTATTGATTTAATAAAACATATTTCTTGTTTTTACATTAAAGGGAAAGTTTAGAACAGTGGTAAAAGATGACTTTAACATTTATTTTAACTGTATCTTAGGGTATACATCTTAAAAGTTAAAAAATAACGTTATATTTAATTGACATACGTAAAAGTTTAGTTAAGTAATTAAAATCACTAACTAACTAACGTAATTAATATTTCAAAGGTTTTAGATTAAAGATTAATTTAAATTCAATCAGCAATAAAACATTTTTTTAACCAGCGATTTATAAAACAGTTAATTATATCTTAATAAATATAAACATTTACTTTTTATTGAAAGAATATTATTTTTTTAAAGTTTTGATATTTTTCTATAGTTGAAAATTCTATTTAATATTTTATAATTATCATATTAATTATTTATGTTATAAAGAAATATTATTCAAACTATAATATTATAAAAATCAATAGTTCGAATTTGGAATAATTTCGCAAAAGTTTTCAGTTAGTAAAATCTAGTAAAATATAAGACTTAATGTGAAACTTATAGGTCAGTTCAGTTGTAAATATTAACATCATTTATTATTTTTACGGTTTCATTTAGTGGGATTCAATCCAAATATTATTTGGAACTAAGTATTTTAAATACAATTATGAAAATTAAAAATTAAAAGTAGAATTGGACATCTATATATTACCATTATCAATTTATTTTAATGTTAATAGTTTAAAGGTTTTGTGTAAATTTTTTTTTTATTCAATTCAGATAATAACATATTTTAGTATTATTATTTATCATAATTTTATTATTATAGCTAAAATGACGTGTAAATGTTTATT